CTATTAATTCTGATTCAGGCAGGCTTCTTTGGGGCGTGCCTACGAGCACTAGCGCTGCTCTCACACCATCTGCTCGGGGTTTATGCACAAGCACCAAGCCGGGGCTCCACCAGCCCTCTGACACGATGAAGGAATGATCAGATACCTGGCTGCCAGGCTCCACAGTCTGCCGACACACACACACACACAACACACAAACATTCGCGGTCGCACTGATATCCTCCACATCCTCGTCGTGAGTCATCTGAGGTCGGAGCTGTAGCAGGATGGAAGGTCCTTTTACACACAAGAGATACTTGAGAATTGTATGCTGGCTGCACAGCAATCAGTCAATTGTAGCAAAATACTGCCAAAGAAACAGATTGAATGAATGCCGATTGCAGTTTAAGGTATCCAGACGGGATTACTTTATCTTCTGTAAAGAGGAATAAACTGACTACCAGATGGAAAATGAGAGCTTTTTGCCTCAACTCTATAATTTTATTTCGACTTTTATTGCAGTGATAGACGTTAAATTAGGTTTTTTTTTCTCAGCAGACACAAATAAAGACAAAATGCATGAGTTGTTTTTGTCACTGTAATGTTAGTATCCTTTCTTTTGAGCTTTCATTTAATGATTGCAGCTGATTACATGGAGCAACCTAAAACTGTATAAGTTAAATAAGTTGAAATTGTGATCACCCACTTTCTTCCTAAATTGGTAGAACTATTGTGTTATTTATGTTTTAAGATTACAGTTTATCAAATGACAGCGTTACTCATATAACTACAGAAAATCTCCACTTTAAACATGAATTTATGGAGCAATATAGTGAGTTTCAGCTTATCTGTTCACTGTTTAGCTGTTTAACTTTACTATTTGTCACTGCTCTCTTAGCTTTATACACCTGAGGGATGGACCAGTTATCAGATCCAATATGTTTTTGGATATGCTTTGATTTTTGTTCCTATTCCTGAAATAAAATCGTTTTAAAAAGAGCATCCGCCGCTCTTTCTCTGTGGCCAGCGCTGTGTGACTGGTTACACGCCGCGAGTAATATTACATTTTAAAGGTTTTCTATTAATTTAGCTGATGTATATAAATAAAGACACTTCAACAACGTTTTATATTGCAGTTTAAGTTATTCTAAATACTGAGCAAGGTTTTTATTTTTACTCCAAATGTGTATCAGTTCCAAATATCCGTTATTGGTCTCCAAATAGAATAGAATAGAATAGAATAGAATAGAATAGAATAGAATAGAATAGAATGCTTTTATTGTCATCATACACAAAGTACAATGAAATTAAAAGACAACTCCAGTGGTGCAAAAGTGTGAAAACAAAAGTATAAAAAGACAAAAAAGAAAATATATATACTTACAAAAGGAGCCAGTAGGAAGTATATACAGTTGGTCAAACGGTAGAATAAATATATTGCACTGTTGAGGTAGGAACACTGTGGATATATGAGAAATATAAATGATGTAAATAAAGAATTAATATAAGTAATATATATAAAATGTGTACAAAATATAGAATAGTATAATATATAATGATTAAAACATAATTATAATATATGTAGCATAGTATAGCATAAGTAATAAATATATGTGATAAATAGTTCAGACTACAGACTAATGTGCGTTCAGTACCCATATTGCACTTGGGTAGAACGTGTTGGTGAGTCTGGATGTGCGGGCCTTGATGGCTCATGATGGCTCGTAATCTATATCACAACTGGCACCAAAAAAACCCTATCAGTCGATCCCTAATAAATCCCCTGTACGCCACCCGCTCAGCCCAAAATGGCAAACAGACCCAGTTTGTGCACATGCAGCAGTTTGTCACATTAGCTGAAAGGGTAATGATGTATTAGCGTTGTCAGGTTTAAGGTCAGTTTGAGCGATTCGGTACGGTTCGGTCTAACACCCAGGAGTGATGCTTATTTTCTTAAGGGAGGTGAGTTTTGCGAGATAAGGAGCGACTGCGCCGTCCTGGGCCGAGTGGCAAGGTCAGTCCCCCACCAGGGAGTCAGCGGCGGGTTCAGATTTGTTGGATTATAATGACCCCGTTGCCACAGGGAGAGCTAAGTAGCGAGTGGTCGTGGGGTGTGAAGAACAAGCTGGTCGGACGAGAGTTATGGCGATGGTACCAAAAACAGCAGCTTAATGGAAGGCAGGCGCTGGTGAGCAACAGTTAGAGAGATGAGCTCAGAGTTCTCGACGTGACTGAAGTGGGCTGAAGCAGTACGGAAATGTCACAACAGCTGTCTCAGGTGACTGTACCCGCAGACTGCATTAACTTGCATCCTTTCAGCACAATGGATGGCAGACAAAGCCGTCTGCGTGATGTCTGGATGACTTCTTCCTGTACTTGACTGGATGCATTTAGACTGTTTCTGTGCTTTAACTTCAGACCCGTCCACAGTTTATGAATACATTTATGGTAATGCTTCATTGTCTGTTGATGATTATATTTGAATACATGATTGGTGATGGCTGTTGAAAAAAGTGTTTTTCTGTTCATTTGCGAGAGTGTTAAGCTCTTTTTTTGCTTGCATCCTTTGTGTATGTTGTTTTAGGCAAAGAAAAACTCTCTTACATGCCAGGAAAGAGACGTGGCTAGCACCCCTTATTTACATATTTAAAAATAAAATACCTCAGCTAAACCGTCACAAGACTTAATTTTAGGTTCTCTAAAGCAAAAACAGATCCCGTTAAGTATGTTTTAAATTCGAAAGACGAGGGCCTCGTGGTACAACACCCTAACATGCTGAGTTATAGAAAGATAAATTGTGAACCTCATGTGTTGCCTCTGTGCCTTTTTTTGTAAGAAGGTCTGCTCTTAATATGCAGCAGCATGCATGTGCAAGATGTGATTGAGAGGAAATTAATTCCTCATCAACCCACGTTGCTATGTGGGACACCTGTGGCATCAGCGCCCCATTAATGGATACCGATGCTCATTTAATGTCATTTGGCACTAATATTCTTCACTAGCTAGTTAATCGTTCCAAGTCTCTCGAGGGTTAGAACAGACTCACAGATTTGTCCTCTCTCTTTACCTTTGATGTAAAGTTGCTACATTTGGCTTTAATTTCCTTTTGATTAGTGGTGATTTTTAAAACCACCATTGTGCTTCAATGAAGGACTAAACTGAATGCATATCCTTGATGGTTTCCTGCATCGGAGAGCGTCGCTGGCACTCCACCGCTCCGGCGACAGACTGTGGCTTGTGCTGTCACATTAAGCCATGTTGTCAGAGGCACATTTTCACACATGAGGGAAGTCTTCACACTGCCGCGGTTTGATTTGCCATCCAGCGGGTGATTATGCTCAATTGCTAACAGTTTCTCCACACACCAGCAGAAAGGCAAACTTTGACTGAAATCCCAATGCAGTCGAGTGCAGAAAAAACAAGATCGTGTTCGTGATTCAGCGTCTGTGGCTGCGCATCCTTGGCCAAGGTCATTTAACTCTCTGAAACCCTGAGGAGTTTCTGGGCATTGTTTGCTCCTCCTGTCACATTTTTTGACTTACTGTGGGCTTATTTTTCACCGCAGTGTAAAGTCCTGCTCAAAAAAATAAGGCCTTTTGTGCAGGACGGCACAGTTACAATGCCAGGAATCATAAAAAGTTGAATTTCCTTGATTATTTAGTTCACAATGATTCCATCCATC